GTTTCCCTCCAAACCCTGGGTTCGCCCACACTCAAACAACCTATCCAAACAGTATGATATACTTATCACCAGAGGATGAATGAAAACCCTGGCTATACGCAGTGATTTAAGTTTTCAGGATTTAGGGTTTTAGTTTAGGGTTTAGGGTTTTAGGGTTTTAGGGTTTGTTGTTTTGGAAAGTAACAAACTCAAACCCTACGCAGGGATTTGAGCATGTCAAAGGATATGCGGGATTCGCCGTGGGCAAACCTAGGGTTTGCAGCGAACAGTTTTTCCAGGATGGTATAGATTCTATGTTTCCCCCCCATAAATTTCAATGCTTCCAACTTTTCCATTTTTGGGGGGGTTGCTCCAATATCCCAGTAATCACCCTCTGGTTATTTAACATAGCCATGGTATAGATGGCCCATAGAAATAGATGGTTTACAGTTCTTAAAAATGGTGGATCTTTCCATGGCAAACTGTTAGTCATAACCAGATGGTCATAGTGGTCAACATCTATGGTTAACATCTAAAATCTATGGTTAACATCTATGGTTAACATCTATGGTTAACATCTATAATGGTTAATTAATGGCTAATATCCCAGTAAATGTTCGTTGCGACATTTCCATGACATCCCCAGTGAAATCATCATTGCTAGTGCGTGAATGCAACCATCCAAGTGTACAAAAACCCATCAATTTATCTTCGTTGGATCCACGTTCGAGGTTGGGTGTCCAGTAACCCAACCATCCAAAAAGCGTCCAACGAAAAACCCAGTTGTGATTTCCGACTCGATTTTTGTTGGACTCGATTTTTTGTAGCGGGCTACTTGGAGGATCATCTCACGAAATGTAACTGTTGTGTTTTTTTTTTCTGCTGGTGAGCGTAAGTTCCTCCAAGTACGAGATATATCCATATGGCAGTCAAAACCAAACGGCACCCGGATGGTAGCCTAAACTAAATGGATGTTTAATTCCCCTCAGATATGGTAACAATATGTTTTGACCCATCCCCCCATATACATATACTGGTTGGTGGTTTGGAACATGTTTTTATTTTTCCATATATTGGGAATAATCATCATCCCAATTGACTTTCATATTTTCCAGGGGGCTAGCTATACCACCAACCAGATATATAATCATACATATACAATCAATATCAATCAATATAATATTAAATTCATATTTCAGTATATCCCATATATATATATATACATATACATATACATATACATATACATATACATATATATCCTGGTTGGTGATTTCAAAATTTTTTTATTTTCCATAATATATGGGATAATCCTTCCCACTGACTTTCATATTTTTCAAGATGGTTGAAACCACCAACCAGTATCCAATGATATTCCTATTCAAACCTCCATCTGTCTTCAACCATCCCAACCCCCAAGCCCCAACGACCCTAGGGGTCCTTCCCTGGACCTGCAGCCAGCGGTGCAAGCGGTGCAAGCGGCCTTGCATCCGCCAGGCGCGTTTTATGCGAAATGGTGGTCTCTTGGAGCTCAAAGCAGTGGAAATGATCGGTTTAAGTTGAACCATGTTTACCCTCTGGTTATTTAACATAGCCATGGGAAATGGCCCATAGAAATAGATGGTTTACCGTTCTTAAAAATGGTGATTTTCCATGGCTATGTTAAATAACCAGATGGTAACCAACAAATGATGCGGATTAAGCCAGAATAAATGGTTTCTTGTGGTGCAGGGGCACTTCCATCGCTAAGTTGGTGAACAGAACTAGGTGAATTCTATGGTTTATGGTGATATCGAACTGGTTTTCATGGGCTTTATAAACCAACAAACATCACTGGGAGGGGCACCTTGTTGGGGCTCAAACTAGTGAAAAAAGTCAGGGGTCTGCTGATTTAACCCACAAAAATTGGTGGTTTAACCAGCACAGATTTGGAGATGTTATATACATATATAAATAGCCCACAAAAGGAATGTTCTTACCGTTTTCAGTGACTTCTCCCTGATGTTGCAGAAGTTTTTGTATATGTTCTTAGGTTTTCTTGATTTTGTGAAGAGGTGTTCTTCCAGTGAGCATCTATTTGGCTGTGGTCAAAACCCTGGTACCCTGGTGAACATCGAACCAGCAGGTAAATGGATGTTCAACCTCAAAATTTGGTATCATAGGTTTTAACCCATCCCCATCTATCCCTCATGTTCGGCAGTTGTTCCAATAATTGTAGTTCTTTCTCAGGTTTGGTGAGTGTTCCAGCCAATTCTTGTTGAGTATTACCTCTACTTAGATGGGCCATGGAGTTAGTTAACTAGTTAGTAAATGGGTTATAATTGGGATATAGAGGGTTATATCCCCAGTTCCTAACCAGTTAGTCAATCCCATGGCCCATCTAAGTAAGTTTGGCAAAGTTTGTAATGTTGGTAACGCAATCATAAACCATCCCGAATTTGACAATGTTTTAATGGTGCATAGACCATCAAATATGGGCGGTTTATGGCATTTCTTTACCAACATAGTAGACTTTACCACACTTTACCAGCCTTAGACACCTCCCACTCCCCTACAGGGCTTGGTCCTTGGTAAATGTCCCATTTTGGAGATCTTGAACATCACTTTCAAGTTGGAGATGATATGCAAAAAATACGTTGAAAGTGATGTTCAATTTATGAATATAGGACATTTACATACATTTACCAACCCCTGCTCTATGTTTCTTCGTCTTTGGAGTCTTTCACCCTGTTTTTTTCCCATCACAACGTTGCGAGGAACCAGTGCCTCGCAAGCAGCACCGCAGTCGATCCAAGGTGCACTGCCCTTGGTCGTCCCACGAATCGTCGTGGGGATCTACGAAGGTTTCACTTGGCCATGGGGGATGACCATGACTTAGCCATCTATACTGGTTGCTGGTGACTGGAACCATGGAATTTTCCTGGTTAATCTATGGTTAATCTATGGTTAATCTATGGTTAATCTATGGTTAATCTATGGTTAATCGATGGTTAATAATTGGAATAACTATATATATCTGGTTGGTGGTTTGGAACATGGCTTTTATTTTCCCCAATAGTTGGGATGATGATCCAGTCTGACTAATATTTTTCAAGATGGTGAAAACCACCAACCAGTTATATATTGAAACATATTGAAATCTATCGTTAAAATGGGATCCACTATTTTAAGAACCACCCCCAAGAAAAAATGTTTTTTTTGGAACACATATATATATAACTACCTGAAAACATTTGAAAACCATGAACATAAACCTGAGGTATTCACGACCGACCCACACATATCACACATGAACCATTCTGCACTTCCATCCCATGATTTTTAACATCGTTTAATGCATCATTTCCTCACTTTTCAAGTATTCAAACATACTCAAAAGCCAACAACTTTAGTAATCTTTAGATAGTATTTTAGAGCCCAGTTTTTCCATGTTTTTCCATGTTTTACAAACTTCCACACCTCTTTTTTCCCGTTATAAAAACGATGCAACCAGCTGCCAATCGTCCTGCGGGGTTCGTTCCTTTAGGTCTTTCTTCCTGGCCCACGGTTTGGGTCCCACAAGCGATTCCGGTCGGGGAGCCCATGGTTAGTAATGTTGTCTGAACCACCAGTGGATCAGTGGATGGAATGGGAAGAATTTTAGTGAACATGATTATATATGTTTACTTCAAGTGAAAATATCATCTTTCATTGTCTGAACATGTCATTTTTGTTGGGAACATGATGATTCACCAGTGGATGGAATGGATGGGTTTTGTTGTTGTTGACATTTTTGGACAACGCCACAATATCATAATAATATACAAACATCTGGGTAAATTACAATGAGGGTACAAGTGGAATGATACATGAATGGAATATTAGTGGGGATATCATAGGATTGTATTAGGATAAAACATAAAGACCTCGGATATTATTGGGAAAATGTCCATTGGGTAAATGAATATTGAAGAGACATCAATATCCCCATTAACATTCCATCAATATTTCATCAATATTGGAAGAGACATTCGTGAATATCCATTGAATAGACATCTGGGTAAACTCTATTGATGGGAATATTCATGGGGTATTGATGGAATGTTGGGATATTTATATTTATATACATATTATATATATATATATATATGTACAACATTATACGACATTAAATGTACATGATTATGATTTACCCAGGCCCATGGTAGCCATGAACATCTGTTGTAGCTATCCAAAAGTGGATGTTTGAATGCAAAAATAATCTATAAACATGTAACATTATCATAAATTGTGAGTTTTGGGATATTGGTGGGATATTAAGGAATATAAATGGGGTTTCCTACCTATATGGAGACACCTGCTGGAATATACCTTTGAATAGCTATGGAAATCTATGGTATAGCTATGGATCTACACAATACATTGGTGATGATTTTCCATAGCTCAGTTTCCCATAGCAATCACCATGATAAAGCCATTTGGTAAACTACCCTCTGGTAATTTTTCACATAGCTATTGAAAATTGCGATTGTTAATGGGAAAGTCAACTATTTCTATGGCCATTTTCAACAGCTATTTTGACATAACCAGAGGGTACATCCCATTAAAATCACCATTTTGTTGGTTAAACCACCATTAAACCACCATTTTAAACCACCATTTTCCCACTGGAAATCCCATGGGTTTTCCCGTTCGGACAATGATCAGCCTGTTTGGTTGCTGGAGGGTTATACACATAGCAGCCCCAATTTATAGATAGACAAAATGGGAACCTGTGAACGTGACGAAACTATAATTGTTGAAAACCATCCTGGAAGCTCTAACATAGGCATCTTTTTGGGGGTTGCTATACTGTAGTTGTTGACACTATGCTGACCAATATATTCTTAGGTGTTGCAGCTATGTTTGAGGCGTCACCACTTTTTGATGAGCAGATATAGTAGATTGTTTGTCCAACAAAGTGTCGAACACAATCCAAAACAACTGGTTCGTCTAACAGAATATATGATAACTAGACTTTCAACGTGACGCCTGTGGTCCAAGCTATCCAAAATAGGTTGGTTGGTTGGTTGGTTGATTAATCTCAAAAGTCATGGTCAGTGAGAAGTGGAACTAAAGCCGACATGGGATTTTCCCTCATATAATGGGTATAATGGGGGTTAGCATACATGTTTGTGGAAAAACCTCGGCTGATATCATGGGGGATATTCACTATTTTCGACGGTGACACGATGTACATCCCAGGAATGGAACTCTTTTCCGTGGTAAACCATGGTAAGTCCAACAATGAGCCATCACACACTGGGGTCTACTATTGGGTATACCACTGTGGATGATGTAATTCATGACCCCAGTCATGGTTAGTTCATGGGATGGTTTATGGTATTGGGTTTATCACATATCTGTGGAGTTTGATATGATAATATCCCTAAATTTCACCAATCCCCAACAACAATGGCAATACCCTTCGCTATTCAAACATGGCAATGGAAAATCCGCCATTTATAAATGATTTACCCTCCAGTAAACTAACATAGCTATGGAAAAGGGACCATTTACCTATTATAAATGGTGATTTTCAATAGTGATGTTAGTTTACCAGAGGTTACCCACTGGTAATTTAGCACTTCGCCCATGGAAGAACATCGCCATTTGCTTCGATGCGATTGTCAATCACATTTGATGCAATTCTTTGTGGTGTTGAGTGCATCTAAGCAGAACATTTCGCCATCCACCCTCGGTGGAAAATCACCATGGAATCGCGGCATTGATCATCGATCACTTTCGTCTTGAAATCCATGGGTTTTTGGGGATCCCCTCATGACTTGAAGAACCCCCCAATATGGATCATATGGGTTATGAATTCCAACTTCTTGTGATTTTAAATCCCATAAACAGATCCAATGTTCCATATTTTATCCCATCTACTATCCCAGATCCACATTGGCCTTTGAGGCCGCGCCCCTGAGCCGTCACAGCATGGGCCAAACGCTGGCGTGCCTGGGCTAAAGTGGATGATTTGGGGGTATCCCTAGTTTACGAAACCTCCATATGTATGTATATATATATATACACATATGTATATACATATAATATCATATATATATATATATATATACAAGCCACCGCAAAAACCCCGGCAATACTAAATATGTATTGGACGGACATTGGTTCATGGAAATTGCTGGAAATTGTTAAAAACACACGGTAGGCGATGGGACCTTCCCGATACCCAAATTGGACGTTGATGTAGCAGTTTCCTGCAAGCGATACCCCCCCAAGTTTACCACATATCATTATTGTGCAAACGTGTGGTAAGCGATGGGACCTTCCCAAATTTGTGGATGTCCTTTCCGTGAACCTAGGGTTTTGGAGATTGCTCATATACATATATAATATCATATATGTATATACATACGTTATATATATAATTATATATATATGGGTACTGAATGGTGGTAAACCCCTATAATCATTTGAGTAAATTGAGTAAACTCTACTTAGATGCGCGGACCACACTTAGGATCAGTGGTTTATACTCCATATACCTATCAAACCACCAGTATAAAGGGATGATGTTGCGGCCCCCAAGGGCCCTAAGAGCAAGTTCGCTTAGCTCCTCGCAACCCAGGGGAAGCAGCAAGAGTGGGCCTCCCACCAGCAGTTGGATGTAGCAAGTGACCATTTTAACTAGCTACCCTTTGGAAAATTAACATAGGTATTTTACCATCAAACACATGGATATATTGGGATAGTCATAGGGATATAGAGCCAACTTGACATCATATTTATCAGAACTATCGAACATCCCAATTTTTAAACATTATGCAATAAGTCAACCTATAAATGGGCCATGGCTTCCACAAATGTTGAAATATGATCACGAGGGTTGACCTTCAGAGTCTGGATGTTCGGCCTGACAAAACCATGGCATTCTGAATGGATATATCTTTGGCATGTTGTTTGAGTGTCTTCTTCGCATTCTGGGATTTGGAGTTTCCATTCTCTGCTATTCTGTGTTTGTGGATGTGTATATATATATATAAATATAGAATTTATATATATCCCATAAGACCACTATATGACCATTATAATAATTATAAGTTTGTGGGGTTTCAGCCTCACAATTTCTCGGCCCTTCGCCGCAAACTTCAGGCCTCAAGCTGTCAGCGCAGTCAACCCGATGAATACGCAGGTGGGAGCTAAGCAGCTCCAGTCACCGAGCAGTTTGCTATGGAAGTGCTATGGAAAATGGTCCATTTATAGATGATTTACCAGGATTTACCTATAAAACTGGGACTTTTCAATGGTTATGTCAGTTTACCAGAGGGTAATTTTTTGGCAGTGGCGATCTAGCCCCGTGGTTTGGTGATAGGGGTTATTCAAGGGATTATTCTACCCAATATATTGAAGATGATCATAAAGGGAGCTCAATCTATCAGCTACGGGTTTTTCCTGCTCCAAGAGGATGTGGGAAAGCCCGTAATTTTCCTGTTCGGAAACAGCGAAAAAAATGGTGGCTTTTCCACAGCTTGATGTGAGTTTACAGGAGGGTACCCTCTGGTAATTTAACATAACTATGGAAAATCACCATTTTTAATGGGAAAACTCACTATAAATGGCCATTTTCAATAGCTATGTAAACGTTTACCAGAGGGTTTTTGATGGGCAAAGCGAACAATGAGCCATCATGAGCCATGATTTTGCTGGGAAAAGATCTACACATGTTGGGTTTCCACTGTCTATATTAATGTCAATTTGGTGGAGAGTAAGATTGATACTTCTGAAGAAATCGCCGTGAAACCTCTGTCGATGCATTTTTTCTGGTTCCATTGCTTCGCAAGTTGGATTGGAAGGGAACCCCCGGGTATTAATCAACCAAGGTTTATTCACCATGACCGTGGAATCTATTGGTAGTATTGATTAATTTTTTCAGGGCCATCAAGCAAGTCCAAGATGCTAAACTGTACTTGAGTTGTACCTTTGAACACTGGCTTTGTTGATGGGTTTACCAGATGTATATATAGACTTACTAGGCACATGGGGTACCATTTCTTCGGCCATGGCCATCTATGAGGGATGTATGAAATCTTGGTCCATGATCGGTCTCTGCAACTTATCTGGAAAAGGCAACAACAACTTACCTGGGAATGGCTAGGGGATGAAGCTTGGAGATGTTTTGGGGACCCTTTTTAGCCCTTGGGAAGTAAGTTCTTCGCCAAGAAATTTGGTGAGATAAACATGACATTCCTAGCATAGTACTGGAGATTGCCCTTAAGCGGCCTGGCAGCTTGGCTAAACCACCCGAGAAGCTTGGGATGGTTCTGGGTGTGACAAAGATGGGAACTTATCACCAGTATGTGGCCATGTTTAATGCAGAATATGACGATAAACCGTGAAAGTACTTGGAGTTACCCTATTTTCCGACCAGCCCACATGATATACACCCACGCACACACTGTTTTTTCTTCACCGGTGGTTCAATCACCCATGAGTCTTGTTAGTGATGATGCCCATGTTTAGGAGGTCTATTGAGGCGTGCTTGAAAGCACCAAGCAGTCCACATTTGCCATGTACATCCAGAATATTCCAGAATCACGATTCCGGTAATTCGACACCCTTTGTTCTCGGTTGAAACCATTCACCACCAACTAACCTATGATCATCCAAATATCAAATGGTGAAGGAATCCCGTTTTTTTTGTTTTTTTTTTCCCGCTGGTTGAAGTGAAGTTGATATAATATATAAGTAATATATATATTATTATATATAAATAATAAATATTGTATATATATATACATATAATATATAATATATATTTTTTCTCATTGTTCTGCTTTCCCAAAGCTTTCCGTTGGGTCCCAATGATCTCCCCATTTCGCGCCTCAGAGGCCATGCTCCGTGGCATGGTGGCACCAGTTTCAACCCAGGCTGGGACCGAGGGATCCACAGCGCTTTATTATTGAACTAACATGGTTAAAATGACATGGTTTAAATGGTTAAAACCAATGTTAGTTAGTTCAATAATAATAATGTTAGTTTAACCATGGTTAGTTCAATACTTAACAAATGTTAAACATGTATGTTTAAATAATAATGTGTATGGTAAAACACCATGGTTTATCTAGACAATGTTTATGTTAAAACATTTATTTATATCATGTGTTAAAACCATTTTAAACCTGCCACTTAATGCCACTTAGACCATCCCCAAGTCGCCAAGTTTTTATGGGATTCAAACTACCCCCAAGTGGTAGTTGTTTATGGCATTGGGTGGATCCCGCATTAGATGATCTTAAAATTATCTTAATTGTGTTTATGATGGTTTGTGAAATTGGGTATGCCACTATTTGGGATGATGTTAAATACATGGCCTCCCATTTTTGGTTAGTTCATGGGATGATTCAAGGGATGAATCTTGGTCAACGCCCTCGCGCGGCAACGTCGTATTAACCATGGGAATGGGAGGTGTCCCCTATCCCTGTCCCAAAATGACCCTCTTTCAGGTCAGTGTCACTAGTTTAATTCGACCATGTGTGTGTACATATATATATGTGAGTATTATCTTATATGTATATTTATGTAATCCATCTGGAGATGTATTATCATTTATCACATAATATGGAAAAATACCATGAATATGTAACTATGAGATTTTCAATAGTACCATTTATTCCTGGTGGAGTTGGCCAGCGCCTAAGCATAGTGTATGGATACTAAGCTATTGCAAGTGATACTGCAACAATACATTCTTTGGTGGTGACTTGGAAAACAATCGCGTGTTGAATCTATTGATATTGCAACAAGAACCAGTTCTTGTTGCTCAAACTCCTACCCTCTGGTAAACTAACATAGCTATGGAAAACCACCATTTTTAATAGGTAAGTCAACTATAAATGGCAATTTTCAATAGCGAACTGTTAAATTACCAGAGGGCAATATTGTTTGGTCAAACTCCGAATTACAGTAATGATTGCTGATTCCACTCCTACAGGTTCTTGGCCAAACTCATGTTTTTTGCTCAAGATCAGTCCCATATTTGGCACGCTAAACTCCCATGTTGGCTTAGCTAGTCTTGGATTTCTGCTTGTTCCGCCTATGTAATTTAGCCATGTGCTACAATTTCCTAGATTGATGAATTTTGATGAACCTGTTTATGTTTCTTAAACAAATCTTGTTCAAGATCTTGAGAATCCTTACAACATACTGCATACCCTCTGGTAATTTAACATAACTATGGAACATCGCCATCTTTAACTTCGGTAAATCAACTATTTTCAGCCAGAAATTCCAGTTCGCAAACTGCTGCAACAAATTACCCAACCTTTGGTACTCCAGATGTGCCGAGGTGGTGCTGGAGGATCTGGATCCCTTGGATCCCCTGAGCAGGCGGCGAAGCCGTCGACGCCGGTCGAGTTTCGATGGATCCCGTTGGACCATTTTTCGATGGAGCGAAAGATGGTTGGGTGATGTTTGTAGTGACAAATCGTGGTTATACCATAGGAAAACCCATAGGAAAATGGTGGTTATACCGTTATAGCCTCTGGTAAACGTTTACATAGCGAACTGGAAAGATCCACCATGCTATGCATGGGAAAATCCACTATTTCGACTGGGCCATTTTCAATAGCGAACTGTAAACGTTTACCAGAGGGTAGCTGATAAATGATGATCAATGATGGTTGGTACAACTTTTGAATTATGGTTGATAAATGATGGTTGGCTGATGAGGACTGTTTGGGATGATACTCATATCGGGGATGATCTGAATCCCATGATTCAACGGGGAATCCCGTTACCTAAGCAGTGGTTTTCAGGGAACCAGTCGCTGAAACTGGGGAGGTTCCCCATGAATCGATGATAGCTATGATAATTACCCTCGGGTAAACATACAAAAAACTATGGAAAATGGTGATTTATAGTGGATTTACCCATTAAAAACGGTGATTTTCCATACATAACTATGTAACATCACCATGCTATTAATGGGTAAATCAACGATTTCGATGACCATTTTCAATAGCAAACTGTTATTCATTACCAGAGGGTATGATGTGGCATTCCATAAATCTGTCCATGTGGTACCCTCTCTAGGGGGATGCAATTCAGCAAGGGCTCCAAAGTTGTCACTACAAACACCCTCTGGTAAACGTGTACAAACACCTATGGAAAATCATCATTTGTAATGGGTAAATCAACTATTTCTATGGGCCATTTTCAATAGCGAACTGTCAAATTACCAGAGGAGAATATTGGGATTTGACTGATCGTTATAGGGCTTACCTTATGGGACATTCCATAATCTCTAACTTCAGAATGATGATATAATGAGCTGGGTAACCAGCAAAATGATTGTTTACCATGGGATTTTTGGGTCGATGATTTGTATGATAGCTAAGTTGGCTTTTACATTAAGCCTAGTTTGCTGGGTGAATGGGGATGATGTAACTATGGTTATATATAGATTAGATGGTTAACATCAACTTAGCTTAAGTAGGGTTCACCCCTGGAAACTTTTCCGGTTGCTTAACCCCTGGACGATCCCCAAAAATCTTGGGTAATCCACTTACCCAATTGGGGCCATTTATGAATGATTCATCAATTTATGGGGGAAATACCAGCATGTTCATTGGATATGTACTGGGATATTGGTGGAATATGAATGGGATACACAACCAATATAGACATATATATATATATATATCTGGGCAAATTATAACGACCTCACTGTTCTCCCTCACTGGAATCATGGTTAGTAAGAGGAATCATCCCTTAAAATTGCCAGAAATTTCAGGTTAGTGAAATATTATAATTTACCCATATGGGTGTGTCTGAAAATAGTGTACCCCTAAACCCAATGGTTAATGATCATTATCCCTATTAAATGGCTATTTCATTGGGAATATACCCTATTTTCAGACAAACCCATATATATATATATTGGATAGGTCAGGTTATCGGGACCTCACTGCGATGTCAGCCATGGCCTTACTATGCTGGCTGGGAACCACCTCATGACCTTTTTGTTTTATGTATTTATGTATATGGAGGTTTCCTAAAATGGAGGATCCATAAAAAAACCAGAGGTTTCAATACTTTTCAATGCTCCAAATTGTTGAATCATTTGGGGGTACCACCATTTCAGGAAACCTCCACATATATATATATATATACACTAACATTAATACATTATACATTAATTACATTATTACATATTATACATATGTATAAAGCGTTAGTATAATACGTAGCTGATTATCATCCAAGATTCAGGCGTTTCAAGAGGGTTTTCCTGGCTTCTGACTTGAATGCCATATATCTTAATTTACTGGAGGATGATTTACATGAATCAAAAAAGGACTCTATAATCAACAACACTGGCTAAGTTCATCTAAAATCTAATCATATATATATATGTATGAAATGAAACAACTAGTCGATTGAAACCTCTGTTGAATCTACACGATTGGGTGTTAGTATAAATTCTAGAAACATTGGGACCTATGACACGCTTGCATCCCCATGTAAATGGCATGAAAAATGGGCATGTAGTAGGTATTTAGTGATAATAGTGGGTATGGAAATGGGGATGTGAATCGGTAGATACCTTTACAAATGGGTTTGGATTTAGCCAACAAAAATGGGGAAAGAAAACCAACCATGGTGTTGGGGGTATAATATGACATAATGCGATCATATAGCTGATACTATGACGCCTGTCGAAAAGTTGGGCATGATTAAACTACTGGATTCAGGGGTACCCTGTTTTGAGACAAACCCGAAAGCTGGGGATAGCGTGGCTATATTCTTGAAAAAGGTCTAAAGCCAATTGAGAATCTCTCCCTGTTGCTTCCAAATGTTGAATGTGTCATGCCCTAAAAAATAAGAATGACCGTGACAATATATTAACATATTCAACAGTTGGAAGTAACATGAGAATGCCCTAAATTTGTTGAACATGCGTACAATATGTTATGTTGAAGGATTCAAAATTGGTACGCCTTCATATTTTGGGTGTCCGTTGACCTGAGTTGTAGGCAAGTGGTAACGAACCGATATGAATGCTTGTTGTTCCACGTACCACATACCCAGTGACTGTTGGTTGAATAGAAGCTTATCATTGCTTCCTTACAGTTATTAAGTTATACATGAAGGACAATTCCCGGCAGTAAGGACCACAGGCACCTCTCAAGCTGTGGATTGCGAGGGTGAGTGTTTGCACCTTCTACCAGATGGACGGGGCTACTACATCTTATGGGACTTTATTTGGGAAAAGCGAGACATAATGATCTGTATTCAATATAGACAAATTTCTGGGGAACCACCATTTGTATGTCAATGATCTGTATTCTAGATCCAATTACAAGGTGGTACCCCCTAGTTATAAGTTGGTTTATAAACCATAGTAAGTATAGTAATATACAACAAACCATAATGAAATCGGAGTTATAAACGCACCAACTTGGCGTTCACGAACGGAGGCACCACCTTGTAGTACCCGACGACCGTGTGCAGGTCACGCCGCAATCAGCCGTTCGTCCAATCCCTTCCGACTGCGCACCCTGCACCTTCGGCGAAGATTGGGGGTACCAGGTGCCCCAAAGAAGTGTGGAAACATGAAGGGAAAGGCAAAAGGTGCGTTTTTTTAAGGAAGATTAGGCAAAATGTGGACTTATAAATATGATATAGCCGGAAGAACATGAAGAAGTGTGATTTAACATTTCACCAGGAGAAGATGGGGTCTCAACATGATTCAACAAGTTTCTACCAAAAAGAATACAGTAATTTGCTAACAGAACGAGACTTAGCCACGAAGACTTTGGATGTGCCCTTTGACAAAGGTGGGGAGAACTTAGGGGCAGAATTTTTTTATGTAACAAATTGGTCTGAATATTAGGGGTACCTAACGTAGCTATTGAAAATGACCATAGAAATAGTGGATTTTCCCATGAAAAATGGGGATTTTCCATAGCTATGTTAAATTACCAGAGGGTACCCGTAATTTCACTGATAACGGGTATAACTCATAATTGTTCCTTTTTTCCCCAAACAGTGTCTTCATAGTTGGGATTCTATGAAAACCCCGTGTCTTTTTAAATGTCCCAAATCATGTTAGTCGTTTTTTTTTACTCTTATCGTTTTCTCAGGTGGTGGGCTCTCTGTACTAGAAATTGCGATTTTCCAGCTTTCTGTGGGTGTGAAAGCCTCCTTGGTCGAAAGTCATGTTTTCTTTTCCTTTCATGTTTCTTTCATGTTCCTTTCATCTTCCTTAATTTGGCATTCATGTCCTTTCATTTTCCGTCGCTATTTATCAAACATACAGGTCTTCGAAAGGTGGTATATTCAAACCGGTCAGGTGGGTATCCGCCCAAACGCTCGGGTTTTCATCATATTATGTTGTTATCGTTTTAGTTATCGGGTTGCCATCTTCAGGGTTTATCAGCACGTACATGTATAAGTTTGTCATTGTTTTTTTTTTACTCTTATCATTTTCTGGGCCGGTAATGCATTGGTAGTGCTAAGGGGCAAGTCAAGCTAAAATGAAAGGCCCGGGGTTTTTATACTGTCCCACTTGGGGTTCTCGCGGTAGTTAAACCCTGGTGTTGATCGATGGCTGGGAGAGGTGCTTTCTGTGGGCGCGTTTGAGATTCGTCACTCTTGCAGAGTCAGAACATTTTTCCATCTCCGTGGCAGGCGCAGTATATTTCTTGCACGTTACCAAAACGGTAGCAAGCGTGGTCGAACTGAAAGGTGGTTTCGGAGGTGTTTTTCACAGCAATTGGTGAACTTGGAAGATGTTTTGAAAGGTGAGACCGTAGTCATTTTTAACTTGGTCAATGATGATGATGATGATGATGATGATGATGATGATGATTTTGCATAGCAGGTGCAGTACTTCGAATGTCTCAGGCTCATTTTCGCGGCAGGCGCAGTGCTTCAGAGACCTCGACGAAAAAGTGGCTGAAACTTGGGCAAAACATTGCATTTAACTTTTTCAACTTCGCCTTTTTATGGTGCGCGAAGTACTTGGTGAAATTTAACATGCGCTCGCGTAACCTTCTCGTCACTTTGCTCGTGTCGGATCGCTCTCGCTGTCGCGCGGGGCTCATTTTGATATCGCTCGCACAACCGTCTCGTCACTTTGTCATTGCTGTCGCGCGATGCTCATGTTGATATCGCTTGCGTAACCTTTCTTGTCACATTTGAGCGTGTCGGATCGCTTCCGTCGTGGCGCGGTGCGAATTTTGATATCGCCTGCGCAACCTTCTCGCCACTTTGTGTGCCTTGGACGGCTCTTCCTATGGCACTTTGATTATGTTAGCCACTTCCCAGAGATCCTGGCTAGGAGATCTAGTCCTTTGGAAGGTCCTTCTCTGACGATCTCAATGTGAGAAGATCCTCCGGAGATCCCAACGAAATCCTCTCAGACCTTTGCATGAAAACTTTGAACATTGCCTGTATTTGAGGTGCTTGTATGAAGGCTTACATGGGATGCCGGTAGGATGTTCTTACAAAAAGATCTTGTAAGATATTACATCAAGCTACTAGCACTTGAGATATTGCTTCCTTCGGGAGCGTCTAAGATTCGCAAATGCCGTATTTGGGGAACACCCTAAGATCTACCCACCTGGTCTGAAGATGTCTCAGCTTGTAATGCAGGTTTTCTTCCACAGGCACGGTGTTCCGATTTTGATTGTTTTGTGGTGCTGGATGGATCGTGAGCAGAACGGCCGCAGGAGATACATTGCGGCATCCAAATAGTCCCGCACAATATATCTCTTGGGGATTGAAATGGCGCAACACATGTTTTCTTGATTCTTCAAAAACCGCACGTTGAAATGTTTAAATAATGTTAAATAGTTATGACATTTGCCGGTTTTGCAATGCTTGCTTATATTAAGGCACAGATTATATTATATTGTAAACATTTCCTAGACTTCGATTTGAAACTTAGTGGCCGGGGAACGTAATTGCGACACGCGTTTGTCTGAGGCATTTCTGCACCGCTGGCCATTCCACTAAGCCACCAAGCAGCAACTTACAGAAAAGACAGACAGGAACAAACAATAAGGTACTGTAACACAAAAAGCAATAAAAACTATGAAGTCCGGGTTCATTATCATTGTGCCACTTGATTTATGGGAAAAATGGATTGAACAGAATATTGCCGATAATATATGGATAACATTAATGTTTTTACAACCATTTGATATAAAATTTGAATATGTTCGTACGTGGATTGAGGTATTTTGCAAATCTGTGACATCAAACGGTTATGTATGATTTTAGAAAATATTAGATTATAATTATAATGAAAGTTAATATTCTCCTGGTAGTGAAATTCGGTGCGTTTTGATATTTCATGTGTAGCGTCGAGGAATAGTTTGAGCTTTGGGAAAAGCAATGGGCAGTATACGTATTTTGTGTAGGTGGTGATAGGTGATGCAGACTGATGATGCCAATTGAGCTCCAGAGGTGAGTGAAAGTCCGCTGACATTGGGGGTCGTAGTGATTGCTGCTGTACGATTATTTGGTTATATTGTGAAAAATCTTGCAAATTTGGTCTGGATATTTACATATGATTTGTTTTATACAGCCCGAGCGCTGGTTAAGAATCCGAAAGCTTGAGGCCCAGGGTCCCTCAAATTCTTATTTTTAAATGCAGGCAAATTTACACTACCATAGGCCGAGGGTCACTCAAATTCTTAAGGCATTCTTAGTTATGTATTGCATGCATCTGCACAATTTGGAGCGAGCTTAAACGAGGTAAGGAGGTGGAGTTGGCAGATTTGACAAGAGGCATGGGAAAAAATGAATTTTTAGAGCCTGAAAAATTGTTTTTCCGTAAAGCCTCAGTTTTCTTCAAATTATTGGCGAAATCAATGTTTCAGGTCCCCAAGTCTACCCACATATTGATTTTGTGTGGATTGGAAGTAATCCAAGCATGTGCGGAAAAAACAATTTTTCGGAGCTTGAAAACTTGTTTTTCTGCAAAGCCTGATTTCATCCCATAAGACCATAAGGGGTCACGCCACACAAAAATGAACCGCAAAGGGGAATTGTAAACCTCACGTATAAGCAGTAATTTAAGAATTTGGCAATCCGATTCCAGGGTCCCTCAAATTCTTAAAATATCCTCCTTGGAATTTCCACTAAAGAATGGGACAACCCGGGTTGTCGCAAAAAACATTTTTTTTTGTGCTAAAACTGGTGGTAAATCCACATGACGAACCCGGACTCCCTATTTTTTGCAAAGGCTTCCTGGGTCAGGATTTTTTAGAGAGGGCATTTTGAGAGGGAATAGACAAGCTGATTGAATTTTTGCAAATTGGTAAAACTGCTGTTGTGCGCCGGCCACTGTTTGCATCACAGATGAGTCAAGCAGGTTGCAACAATGACAACAACTTTCATGCATTTTCTAACAAGGACAGTTTTCTAACAAGCAATCATTTGAGCACATTGGGTAGTTTTATACTGGTTGACATCCACATGGCTAACACGGATTCCCTATTTTTTAGAGTTCTGCCTTTGTATTTGTATGTTTTTTGTATTTTTATGTGTTTTTGTATTTTTTTGTAGTTGGTTGCCTGGGCCATGATTTTTTAGATGGTCTTAGACCCCCTTGATCCCTGGGCTGGCATTCTTTAGATGTGCCATTTCAGTAGTGCAAGGTGGACCGCCGCTTTTTGTCTAAAGAATGCAGGAGTCCATATTAGCCGGGAAATTCCAACAATGATCTTAAAATATTATATATGTATTTGATATAATTAAAAAATGTAGTCTGCCTTGGATTCGAACCCCTTAAATTCTTATACAATGAATTCTTGTACAATATTCAAATAAATAATATTTAAATTATAAATAAATAAAATAATTATTGAAAAAAACATAATTTCTAAATTTAACCTTCGATTGAAAAAAAAATGATTTCTAAATTTAACCTTCGAATTATTGAATTTTATTTTATTTATTTCTTTTAAATTATTAATAATTTATTCGTAAAATTAATAATATATTAAATAATATTAAAAACAAATATAATTAAATATATAAATATTATATTATATTATATTATCTTATTTTATTTTATCTTACATTATTTTATATTATTTTATATTATATTATCTTATATTATCTTATATTATTTTATTTTATTTTATCTTATATATTATATTATAAAATAATATTATAATATTATAATTATATAATAAACTATAATATAATATTATATTATATTATATTATATATTATTATTATATTATTTTATTTTATATGATATTATATTATATTTAATTATAATATAATATAATATAATATTATATGATATTATATTATATTTAATTATTATATTATATTATATTATATTATATTTTATTATATTATATTATAATATATTATATTATATTATATTGTAATATATTATATTATACTATATTATTTTATATTATATTATTTGAATTATATAAATATAAAATTAATTTATTTTATTAAATGAATTTTAATAAATAATATTTAATATTTTAAATTATATAATATATTATATTAGGAATACATATTATATTATTATATTATATATATTATATTATTTTATTTTATATTATGTTATATTTTATTATAATTATATTAATATTTAATATAAATTAGAATTTTAAAAATTATAATTATTTATGATTATTATAATTATAATTATATTATTATTGTTGATGCGGTAGCTTTCGAACCGATTAATAATTGCCACACGAAGTGTAACTCGTTGAAAAGGCAGGCGGCTCTTTTCCACGGATGGAGCCGCAGATACGAAGCCAAAGTGGCCAATCCCATGGGAAACCCTAAAGTACCCTGGTATGGGGATTGAACCAGAGGCAATTGGAAAAAGAAAGGCACATGGATATGTCCTAAACACAATTGTGAGGCTCACAATTCACACCGGCGGAGAATCGTGAACAGTTGAAACAAAAAGATGGGACAGGTGCCCTCGAATTTCGTCCACCAGCGCATCTTCACAAGGTTCGCTCCCAGTCTTGTGGTACCAGGCAGTCACCAAACTCGTGGGAGCAAAGAGAGCAATAATCTCGCTGATGGATCCTTGTGCTCGCCTGCCGTCTCAGGCAGAAGTAGTTCGCGTACCAGCATCGTCTAGAGTCAGTGAAATAGATTGGGTGTCGACATCGATGTTGTGCCACCAGCAGGTGATCCCGTTCCAAAGCTTCCACAGTTCGATCATGAGCATCACGGGTGATGTAGTCGTGGTCGATGTCCTCCAACCTTGCGAGGTGCTCTCTCACCTCCATTAGGCCCCCCATCCACAGATCGGTTGTTACACCAATCTCTCTGAACTCTGGCGTCTGGGCAGCACTTTCAGCTGGCCTACTTTCCTCTTGGAGGGGTTCGACTTCAGCGTCAGGCTCTGCATGAGCTCTCGTTGTTGGTGTCCATGGAGCCCAGCGGCCAGTTATCCACCACGTGCCGAAGACAATGGCCATGATCGTCAGGATGACAAAGTGGACAATGTTGAGGTTGAGGTCGATGTAGGTGAAGTGTGTGAGGTTATACTTGATGTCGGTCTCTTCCGCTGCACATGCCTTTGCCATGTATGTTGCAAATATTGCTACCATCGCCCGTCCGGGCCTCTTTGCTGCATATATCTCTGCACTCTTCTTCCTTTCTTTTGCATCCTTTCGTTTTGCCGCTTGAAAGTTCTCGTCACTCTTAAGCTTGACCAAATGGGTCCTCATACGGTCTGCAAGCAATTGGGCTGCGCTTTGCTTCGTCAGACCATCGCTGTATTGGCGCTCAGATGACACCCACAAAGTGTCGGCACCACAGCAGCTCAGTTTGTCTTGAGTTACTAAGACCTCTATGGTTGTACGTTTGTCTGATCCGGATGTTACTTGGACATCGGGGCGGATCAGCATGTCGTAGAGGACCTTGGCGTCCACCACAAGTTTTGGATTGTTGTTGATCTTGGCTGTCTCCAAACGATCCAAGGGAAGCCACGGCTTCCAAACCAAATTCCAGAATGTGCAAGTGAACAGCAGCGC